TACTCGAGTAATCGACAGGTCGATTCCTAGGACATCTATCGAGCTTTTAAATTTCACGTCAAGTATTCGCAGTGACGTCATTGTGTCACGTAATCCGCATCGGGCTACTTGTAAATGCTACCAAATGACTTAGCGGAGCAGGCCCAGTCTTGGCAAACAGGTAGAAATATATATGTAATTCAATTCAGTTTATTTATATAGCGCCAAATCACAACAAAGTTGTCTTAGGGCACTTTACAGAAACATTCACATAAAAGCCAATTAGTAAAGTTCTCTAAGGAATCAGCAGACAAGTTGAATCTTGGCTTCGTTGCAGTCTCCCATCCTGAGCAAACACAGTGGCAACAGTGGAAAGGAAAAACTCCCTTTTAAAAGTAAGAAACCTCCAGCAGAACCAGGCTCAGGACAAGCGACCGTCTGTTTTGACTGGCTGGTTGAGAGGACAGGAAGGAGAAACAGACGAACACAGAATGGTAGGTCCAGGTATAGATCCAGATGTACCTGAAAGACAAAAAAACACATGTTAAGGATAGAAAAAATAATTACAAATACAAAACAGGTTGAGCAGAGTAAGTAAAGACAGTAGCAGAGTGAAAAGTGTGGTCAGTTTGTCCTCCAGCAGTCTAAGCCTATAGCAGCATAACTAAAGGACAGCTCAGGAAACCCAAGCCGACCCTAACTATAGGATTTAGGAAAAAGGAAAGTCTTAAGCCTAGTTTTAAAACTGGACAATGTGTCAGCCTCATGGACAGAGATTGGAAGTTGGTTCCACAAGAGAGGAGCCTGATAACACAAAGATCTGCCTCCCATTCTGTTTTTGTAAATTCTAGGAACCACGAGTAAACCTGCAGCCTGAGAGCGAAGTGCTCTGTTAGGAAAATATGGAACAATAAGATCTGTAATATAAGATGGAGCTAGGTTGTTGAGAGCTTTGTAGGTTAGAAGTAAGATTTTGAATTCAATTCTGGATTTGACAGGGAGCCAATGGAGAGAAACTAAAACTGGAGAGATATGATCTCTCCTATTAACTCCAGTTAAGACTCTGGCAGCAGCATTTTGGATCAACTGAAGACGTTTTAAAGAAGTATTTGGACATCCAGATAATAAACCATTGCAATAATCCAGTCTAGATGTGACAAATGCATGGACCAGTTTTTCTGCATCATTTTTAGATAAGATGTTTCTAATCTTTGTGATATTACGCAGGTGGAAGAAGGCAGTTCTGGTAACGTTTTTAATGTGGGGGATAAAAGACATGTCCTGATCAAAAATAACACCAAGATTTTTAACATTAGAGCTGGAGGACAGATTAATGCCATCTAAGGAGGGAGAAAGACTGAATAATTCATTCCTGAGGTGCTCAGGTCCAAAAACTAAAACCTCAGTCTTGTCTGTGTTCAACAGGAGAAAATTAAGGGTCATCCAGGTTTTTATGTCTTTAAGACATGCTTGTAGTCTTAAGTAGCAGATTGGATTCATTGGGTTTAATGGACAAATATAATTGTGTGTCATCAACATAACAATGAAAATTTATCCCATGCTGTTTAATAATTTTCCCTAATGGAAGCATATATAAAGTAAAGAGTATTGGCCCAAGCACTGAGCCCTGAGGAACTACATGACTAACTTTGGTGTATGAAGAAGATTTATTATTTACATTTACAAACTGGAATCTATCAGATAGATATGATTTAAACCATTTTAGAGCTGCTCCTGTAATCCCAATATCATATTCAAGCCTCTGTAGTAAAATATTGTGATCAACTGTATCAAATGCAGCACTGAGGTCTAACAGGACCAGTA